TTGTCAACATGTCAACTTGCCCCCTCTCTACTGCTCCTAGCTACTTCTATATTGTTTTAGTCAGACCAAAACAAAACCAAGGCAGAATGAATGGCCTCGCAGTATGCTGAGCTTGACAGAGCATTACATCCGAGTGATTTCTAGACAGCCATCCAAAGGTGTTCCATTTCAACTCACCATGTACGTGGGCAACCATAGGATCCTTATAATAATCATATGCAGCTAAGGTGCAAGTCCTTCTATAAACACACACACACACACACACACACACAGTAGAAATGCAAACCCTTTCCTTGAATGTTGCACCAATCTGATAATGCACATCTCCAGTGTCTGTTAAACTTAACAGATTGTTCCTTACATGTCCCATTAAACAAAAACAGACTAAACATAGCTCTTTCCCTCATACATTTCTTGTGACATATGGAGCCAATACTACTTCTCAATCACACCAAGTGAACCAGTCCAGGTGTTCAACAATGGATGTTTCTTATTTTCAAATCAGTGAGACTTCAGTTGCCACCACAAAAGTATGGGACTCAGACAAAACTAGAGTTGCCAGTAGCAATAGTCTCTGCACAGAAGATCTCTTTCCAGTACTTCTCCTAGGAGTACTCCAGGGGTTTTCTTCACAATACAAGATATGACTTGCTCCCAAACAGTCATATCATTTACCAGTAGGCCTAGTATTGACACATTTTCCCAGTTGTATTCTTATTTTTTAATTATGCAGGGTTCATGATGAAGTGACTCAAGTTCATTACAGGTAGGTTGTCAGCGCTATTGGGACGTGTTAGCTTACGCTCTGCTGTTCTCAATATAGTGATTTTACTACAGTTTACTACAATTTTCCTCTAACCCAAGTTTATGTAGGCGATCTGAGTAAAATACAATTAAAGTTTTCCAGGACAACATTGAATATTTCCAGAATATTTGGTCATTTTAATTTATTTCTAGATGTTTTCATTACTGGAAAACTAGTCTCTAAATGACATGGGAACCCTGACATCATTTCCCCATATGAGAGGAAGGGTTCCCTGTAATAAGACATTACACAACCCCAAAGCTATGCTGTCGTCTGTAGTCTGTTTTTAAGAAAAAAAAACTATTTAATACGTTACACGTGTGTATTTATAGCCCATTATACCACCCAGCTCCACCACAAAGGAAATAAAATCATAGTGAGCATCTTCAGAGATCTTTACCACAAATATGGACCGTGCAGTCATGTGTCAAGCAGCCAAGAAATACAATGTCACAGAAAGGCAGGCTTACAGCCAGAGAAAATGTTCCCTTGGTTGTATACCTGACTGATTCCAGGAGCTTGACGGGAAAGAGGGTGAGTATGTGACTGAAAAACAGAATGATTTAATGCCTTCCTCAGATGTAAGGAGAAAGTCTTAAAATCAGGCTCATCTTGTATATAGAATTTAAGTTATACTGATATACTATATATTCAATAATCATACTGATATATATAGATATATGATGTTCTACACAATGAAGACATGATAAGTAGTGTCAGAGCCACTGCATCCTTGTTAAGACACTGTTAAGTTAAATTGTTGTTAAAAACAAACACCCAGAACACAAAGTGATGGCCAAACGGCACAGGCCCGATGTGTGCTAACTAAGCCTGAACCATATCCTCGGGCACAATGATTGTCAATATCTCACTAGAACAGATGGATTAGCCCATGGCACATAGAATAATAACATTTTCTCTCTCGAAAGCTTTTAGAAGACTATTAACAGGGTGAACTTTTGAACAGAGATCTGGTTCTGTGGGGTTTTCTGTGGCCAAATAAAGTAAAGGTGAAATTATTACGAGCCTGTCTGTGCTCCTGAGGGTCTCTTTAAATGCTAGCGCGCCTCATTTTCCAGGGGCTGTTTGAACCTTGCTCCTCTGGAGCACACAATGAGGATTTTAAGAACAGCTGAGGCAGCCATACCAAAAAAGCAAATTGAACACAATTTCCATAAGTTTCTATAAGCAGGGAAAAAAATTAAAACATATCGCATCAGATGAATGCTTACGTAAGGTTAAATTCACAAGGAGCATTTTTGAGACTTTGCATAAAACTAATTTATAGAGATCTAAAAGCTATTATTCTCCCTTCTCAAAAGCATAAATTGTAATTCCAGGGATATCTCAGTGACCTCTTCTTTTTCTCTTACGTTAATAAGCTGAAATTCAACCAAACGTACCGAGATACCTGATGTCTTGTTGCAATCTTTATTAAAGCCACATTCCTTTAGTTTTAATCTTGCTGGCTTACCTTCATGATACCAATGTCATAAATTCCAATGAGCTGAGCTTTGGCTGCAACATGCAACTAAAAATACCTCAAGTAGACACAAAGCTGAAAAGGGGTTTGAAAATGATTGAGATCCACACTATTTAACATTATTACCTTTATTACAGAAGCAGAAATACCCTGTGTGGGACTGAATGAAAACAGACAGGGACCATGTGAAACTAGAGCTGGTTGGAATGACCTAAGACTTGTATCACGATTCAATTTCAAGCACAGGCGGTAATGATATATATCACAGTTCATTTATTTTTTATTTACTCTTACCCATATTACTTGGACATATTTCACATAGAACAGCATTTTAAGAACATTTATTATACAAAAACAGTGTCATTTGAGGTGAGAAAAGATGCCTTGTACTAGCGCCCTTTGCAACCACTGTTATCCAACATAATAAAGCAGATCATTATTTTCTGCTTGTTGCTGACTTTGTAAACCTGAATGATGTCCATGTAATGGAAGTCAGTGTTGTGTATAAAAGTGCTAAAAGAGCAACACCAGGCGGAACTGAAGTTCCACTTTTACTTTCCGGCAGAGCTATTAAGTCAGAGCGCTGCTGAAGAGAGCATAGCTGACTCAGAGGCAACTCAGAAAGTTATCACACAGTCTACAGTTATAGATCATCTTTTCCCAAGTTAAATGGGAACACCTGTGTGGACACAAAAATACAGAGAAGAAAGGAGTGTTCAGCTTGTTGTTTAACCATAACCACCACGAGCCAACAGCTGCAAAGTCCCGAAACCCAAATCAAACGTCCAGCATTTTGTAAAGTAGCTCATTTAAAAAAAACACACAAAAGAAATAAATGTAAACTAGTTCATTTGAATCGGTGTGAACCAAACTGTGTGTGTGAAGAACACTGATGTGACTTTTTTATATTCCTCTTCAGTCAGCATGGTGCAGTCAAAATGTATACCGTAGAGCAAATTCATACAGGGGTTCTTTCTGTGCCATTTATACTGTCCACGCCTCTGTGCAACATTTTAGCGTCACATTACCTAACACCAAAAGGACCCAGATATGGAACCTAATCGTGTTTTTCTCCAAATGCTTCTGTATCCCATCAGTCCTTTCTCATCCCTACTGTAAAGTGCAACCTCTGGAGAAGCATGAACAGGCTCCAAGCCTCCTACCTTCATGTTTAAAAAACCTTTGTGGTTCTGACTCTGACTCACAGCGACACTTTAGCCCAGCACCGCTCCTTCCAAGCCACCGGACAACAGTAATTAGGTTATTTCCAGCGTGCAGAATCCCGAGCTCTAGAAGGCTTTCAGGATGGAAAAATGAAAAGGCTCCACAGGGGACGAGGGGGCAACACTCTATGAGCCCCCATGTGAAACTGTTTGAGAAATTGCTTTAACACATTGCCCAGCACTCAGTAAAACTAATGACCTCCTACACCAGCATGGAGGAGACCTCTCCTATTAAATTATCCTTTCCACCTACTGTTTGTCATTTTCTGCATTTTATAACTCAGAAGTCTTTTGTCCTCTCAAAATAGTACAATTCATATACAGTACACGAGTCATGCTAATCAAAAGGTACTGTATATGTCACTAAAAGTCTTCAGTGCGTAGGTAGTGAACTGCTGATGAATAAACAGGCTCTGGAAAGCCACAAGCCTGACATTCAAAAAGCAAACAATCAGAAAACATACAACAGGACAACGACAGTTCAGAAACTAATAATCTCACTAAAATTAAACAAACTCTTCCAGATATAAGGTTAGCATTTTGTTAGAGCATCCTAAAAATTAAAGCTCTGTGGCTTCTACATTACAGAACAGCCTCCAGTACGTATTTGCTGGCTTACAGTAAGTCATTCAATATATATTGAAATGTAAATGAGGCTGCAGGTCAGACTCGAACCCGGGCCGCCGCAGCAACTCCGCACATAGGCCGCCAGCTAACCGGGCACCAAATAGAATCCCTTTTAACGTAACTGGAGTCATCTGGGAATAACATTTGGTGGCTGGGCATGAAAACTGTCCAGCGCAGTGGATTCCAAATAGCACAAGACACCTAGACTAGCCAAATATGAATTTGATTTAGGAGGGGTAAAGGAGCCTCAAAACGATGGCTGGCCACCAGCCAAAGAGGCTGGACAAACCAAATGACAAATGCAAAAGCTGCAGCTAAAAGTCACCAGCACTTGGCTCATGGCGAGCAGCAGTTTCCGAGCCTGTTTAAGCAGTTACTAAAGCTTAAAAACAGCCTGTGTGCCCGTGGGACAGTACGACAACACAGTGGACAAGGGGATAACATTTCTGTGGTGCAAGAACTCAAACAACTGCACCCAATGGAGACACAAAAGGGTGAGAGTTTTCAGAGCAACCCCAGCTGAACAAAAGGGAAAGGGAATAAAAGAAGGGAGGAGGAAGAACACCTGTGCTGACGTGTAATTAAACAATCAGGGGAGTGTGTATCACTCTACACACACTAAAACAGGCCTGGGTGTCACAGCAGACTGCTAAAGATGATGAGTGTCGGTGCACCTGCTTTCATGGACTAGAGGTAATATCAGTGTGTGACGGGTAAAGAACAACACTAGACTCAGTAGTTACCAACATTTAAGAAATCTTGTTGCAAAGGTGTCTTCTCTCAATCCTTCCTAACAGAAATGTGCTTTAGATGTGACAGACACCAGACAGTGAACAAAAAGAAAGCTGCTGTCGGTCCTTACCTGTGTCTGTGCTCGTCGTGTCCTCCCTGTCCATGGATGACCACCTGTCCGGAAGCATGCTTCCCCTCTTTGGGCGAGTCAATATGAGGGATGAGCACATCCTCCAAGCCCAGGTCAAAGCGCTTGTGCTTGGAATTGTCCGGGAGGAAGAAGAAGGCCCCGAAGCATAAGGTGATGAAGGCACTCAGAATGAGGAGGAGGATGAACTTCTCAGAGAGCCTCAGCGTGGCCCTGTGGTGCGGGAAAGAGGAGGCGCCCGGCGACAGAGTGGGTATCCTGCGGCCCGACAGTGGCAGGAGAGCCGGCGTGGTCATGTTGTGACTGCTGAAATGAACTTAGCTTGGGGAGGAACTGGAGGGGGGGCGGGGCCGGGCGGGGCGGGGCCTTTACAAGTGCCACAAGATGTTTGTTGTAGCAGCATGCACGAGCTGGTTGACGTTATAATCGTCATCCCTGTGTTGATAAGTCCAGAAACAAAAAGGGCCCGAGGTCCCCTCAAGTGAAGGAGTGGACTTGCTTCAGCAGGAGGGGTGCTCAATGACCATTCTGAAAAAGGGACAAGCACAGGCACAGAGTTAGCGTTGTACACACCCAGCTGTTTTGGGCCGCTTTTACAACGCGCAGTTACCAAGAGATGTCCACCAATTTCCTAAAAACTCGCTTTTCATCCCTTCGCTTTAACTGCTCTACCTCGACAGTGAGTATACTCTGTAAGGACAGATGAGCTGATGCATAGTCTTTCCTTTAGGCGTCATTTCTCCACCCTGGCAGCATGGCCCTCGTAACCACCAGTATCATCTTGTCGAGCACTAGAAGGGCTTCCACTGAGCCTGGCAGCTCTGCATTACCACCCAACACATGGTGACAAGTCAAGAAACGTGTGTGTCATAAATCAAGTGAGAGCTGGAATAGTAGAGTAATAAACAATCCCATCACATGCTATGGTACATGTGAAAATAAATACCTCAGAATCTCTTCTCAACACACCACCACACACACACACACACAATCCTTTGGCCATGAGAAAAAGGACAAACAGATTTTCCAGAGGCTGTAGAATACCTGTGAGACCATCACCGGACTGCCCTCTGTATACCGGCACCTCTGCCAGGACTAACATAGCAAAATGAACAGCAGCCTTCTGATTTTATGAGCTCTTATTGTGTTGCAGTGGCGTAAAGGCTGCTATCAGACATAACGTTATATCGTAATAAAATGTCAAACAGCGACAGAGACGAAGAGCAAATCAGCCGACATGCAAATCCTCTTGATATTCGGATCCATCGGAGTCGACCGGAATGATAATTCGCAGTTGTGTGGCGACCCTTTGCAGGACATGCAAGCTAAACACACTGCATGTATGTATCCAGTGTATCACACCTGAACTTCAACCCTTATAGCAAATACCCGACACCGTCTTTACCCCCCCGATGTAGAAAGAAGACGTGGAGCCAATGTTCAGTTCTGCTCAGCCAACGCTCAAAGTGCTAATGTGAAAGAAGATGGAAATAAGCGAGTTGCCCCTTTAAACACTAACACAAGCAGTCCTATCAATGCCCGACGGGTCGAGCCAGCTAACGTTAACACAAATGTTTAACCGAGGCTAGTTGTTCTGCCCGGTAGTTTTCCGTCGGGTCTGCACAGAGGTACGATGTCTCGGCGTCTTCGCACAGAATACCAAGTTCATCCTCTGACAGTGGCAGTCTGTGAGCCCATCAGCCGACACAAAATGCTAACAGCTAACGAGCGGCTAACTCATCCAGCTAACGTCAGCTAGCAGGAAAAACGACCAGCGGTTAAAAAGACTGCCACACAATGCCGAAGAAGACCCGTGGTTAGACAATAACTGTATTCCGACATACGCGTTTGGGCTCGCTGATATTTCAGCTACCCGTGAATGTTAAAGGCTGAGCTTTTAAATATGTAGCCGGCGGCTCTAACGGGTTGCTAACGCTAGCTAGCTGGCTATCCACTGACAGGCAGTGTCTTGTGTAGACGCCGCTCTGCTGCATCACCACCTTTCTCATTTGCTCGGTGAAAATCGATGCCAGTCAGGATTCCCGGTCCGCCTTTTGGAAGAAGTCGCTGTAGCAGGTGTCCTCATGTCCACGAACGGTACACGGTCGTAACCCGCAGTGGTGGCACCGTTCACCGTCAGTTCAGAGACACATAGCGGTGCAGCGGAGGGGATGTTGATGACTGGCCGCTCTGTCGGACTGCAGCGACGGACTGACTGAACCACCGCCGCTGCTGCTGCTCGGCGATCCAGCATCAACTACTCAGCCTGCCCGAGTTAGGGACAGTCTGACAATTTCGTTAGGCAGGATAACTGTATAATATGATTTACCCAAGCTGATGTTGGTAGTATATTGCAATGTTGGAAGGCAGCTGCGCCACGCGTAATTTTATTAAATGTACTCAAATTATGTACCCCTACCCTATTCAGGTTTGTAAAATCCCAAACATAGGTTTTGTGAAAAATGATTCACTGATATAAATATAAAAAATATTCAGATGTAGACTAAATATATAATTCATAAATGTAGAAAAAATAAAAAATACTTCTACAAGTAAAAGTCAAAGTATGAAAAGCACTAAATATACAGCAGTGACCCCTGCCAACATTACATTAGTATAATATATTAATATACAATTATATTATATATTGTTCTGGTAGGTAGGTATAAGTGAAGATAGTAAAATACTCAGTTACCTTCACCACCAGCTCCTTGGTTTTCCCCATGTTGAGCTGTAGGGGGTTTCTGACGCACTATCCCGTGAAGTTCTCGATCAGGTCTCTGTACTCCGTCTTCCTATCATCCATGATACAGCCGACAATGGAGGAGTCATCCGAGAACTTCTGTAGATGGCACGCTCCGGAGTTGTAGTCAGAGGTGTAGAGGGTGACAGGGAACGGTGATAGTACAGTTCTTGGGGGTGTACCAGTGCTGCTCGTTACCACATCTGACAAGCAGCTGTGCAGTCTGACATACTGTGGTCTGTCAGTGAGGTAGTCAGTGATCCAGGCCACAAGGTCCTGATCCACCTGCACCACAGAGAGCATCCCTGCCAGCCGGAGAGGCTGGATGGTGTCTAAAGCGCTGGAGAAGTTGAAGAACATAATCCTCACAGTGCTCTGTGGAGCAAATGACATGCAATGTGCCAGTTAATATTCATTTTCATACTGACCAAAATGAGGAACAAGTGCATGAAAAGAATCTGGACATGGCAGTGACCTTTGAGCTCATGAAAAAAGAAATCTCAATCTTCTTCTGATAAATTTTGTCAGTATTGCATCACATTGCCAGGAAATGAATAGCTTAGATTAAGTGTCAGACACATTCTGGTAACTCTTCTCACTTCAGTTATGAATCCTCCTTGACAGTCACGACAGCTTGAATGCTGAAATCAGGTGTAATCATATGAACCAGACACTCATTTTCAAGTTCAAGTAAACAAAAGTTGTTTTTCTCGTAATAAATTATTTTGTTATCTCAAGAAAAAGGCCTTTTAGACCACAAGATAAATTAATTTGAGACATTCAAAAATAATTGCAAGCGTGAATCAGTATTTAAGTCAAAAATAAGCATAGGTACTTGTCCTTGGATCTACTTACTGTGTTTTCACATGAGCAGAGAGCAAAGATAGGAACAGTTTTTCAAGTAGAGCCTCAATAAATAATGTTAACACAATGTTTCCTTCTTGTTTAAAGAGGACAATTCCACCATAACATACAACATACACAGTAAGTGAGGATTTAACCAGCATGTTGGCGTGGAAGTAATGCATATATACAGCGTACAGTTTCACTACAGACATACCTGCTGACAGTGGTCTTGAGACTTACATTAAATATAATCCTTAAACAAAACAATTATAATCAGACAAATAACTGAATTGAGAAAAAGAGAGAAATCTAACTTAGGTCTTTTTCTGGCAGCTCCATGCAGCAGCACACCACTGCCTGGATTTATACATCATAAACAATTGAATAATCTTATCAAACGCACTCTCTTTTATCAAATGCTGCATGAGCTATGTTGCCAGGAAGGATACAGTTTATCATATTAGTCCCCTGGTGTATGCCAAGAACTTTCCTTCCTTTTTTGGCCCTGACAGCTTGCGCTCTGTCTTCTTTTTCAGTAGAGAGACACTGTAGCTGAATATGAGACAGGTGTCGCTTTGCTTTCAGGAGCCTTTATTCCACCCTCGGGGCAGTTTTCTCTTTGCTCTGGCCAAAAACACACTCCAAGCCAAGAGCTCGCTCTGTGCTCTCTGCAACTGAAGGGTGTAATTTGTTAGAAACCTCAGTGATGACACTCACTGCACACACTCCTGCTGCTGTATAGTTGGCTTTCCTGTGGTGTGACTTGGGTGAGGGCCACAAACCTGGCTGAACCACAAACTCTCAAAGACATGCCACTGACAAAGGTGACCATGATTTGCTCCACTGTGGTGAGTCCTTAGAGCACTGAACTTCAGCCTCTAACTCAGGCAGAAAAGAGTAGAGTACAAGGCGACCACATAAACATACAACCCACCATTTCAACATAAGTACATGTTATACAGAAATGGATGATTGAAAGCATAAGAAGCTCTGTAGGCCTTAAGCAGAGTTACAGTAAGTGGGTGTGCAAAAAAGTTGTTGTAGCACCACTGTGATAATGTTTGAACAGTTTTGAAAGGAACTATTTGTTTGGTAGGGAGTAATTCTAGTCAAAACTGTGGATCACAGTGGAACTGTGGATTATCCAGAGTGGCTGTTGCAGGAAAGATATGTTGCCACTGAATTTTGCTGCCATGCTAGCATCGTGGCCCTAGGAACAGCAGTGTCGGTCAGTTTGGTAAGTATTTTGGATGGATTGTCATGAATTATTATTATTTTCCATGTTTTTTATGCCTTGCTGGTGACAGTTGAAGCTAGTGGGGTCATTCCTATGTTCCCATGGTCCTGTGTTCCCCAGGGTTAGAGTGTTAGAGAACATAGAACCATGTGAACATAGATACGCTCCCCATCTAGCTCAAACCACTGCTGTACCCAGGTGCAGTCTGATACAGCCACTAGCATGGCTGTAGAATCTTAGACTTGTTTAAATGTCATTTTTCAATACTGCGAGGACCACAGTATCTCACAATCAATCTCAACAAATGAGACCAGCTCATGACACCACTCCACAGCCACTGACTTCACCAGCAGGGCTCTGTGTGTGAAAAGGAGGATTGTGTTTCTTATCCCTTTGTCTTTCACTGTGAACGCTCCATATTGAAGTAGAGCTTAGCAGGCAGTTAGTCTGCACTGTGACACTGTCAGCCCACATACCAAAGTGAGCTTTTCTCTGACAGGTAATCTATCCGTGGACAAAGTTCACACCATG